TATGACCCGGTGTTCGTAAAGCACGTACTTGACTCAGTTTTTGCAAACGAGAAAGTTTACTCATTTTCGCGGAAGGATGGTCTTTTATGAACATTCTTGGCCAATTTGCTTTGGTGTAGGGATCTGCATGATGATTAGCAGTGACATTTTTCTGCCCTGGTAAAAATTGGCAGTAGAATCTGTGTTCCAAAATACCATAGATCTACAGCCGGCTGTAAGATTTCCGATAGCTTCTATAGCCGGCTACACAATTTCTTATAGCCTTTTGTAGCCGATGGCGATTAAGCAACAGCCGGGCGATAAAGTGTATGCTAAACGTTACTAATTACGGATGCTGGACTTAGTGAGTTTTTTGACTACTGCTCTCTTTTTGGGCCGAAGTATCTTGATTTATTTTGCGAGGAAAGCTCCGTACTTTTGATGGATGCCTGACATCCCTAATATATTAGAGCGCCTTCAGTTTCGTATGATACTGTGCAATACCTCTGGTGTGAAATAGTTGCTTCAAGCGCCGTGGCACGCTGCGGCGCGGCAGGCAGGCAGCCAGCACGAAACGCGCATTGGCGCCTACAAACCCAACAGGGATACTTCACGCGTTGCGCAATGCGTGAAGTATCCCTGTTAGGTTTGTGGGCGCCAGTGCGTCGCCGCTCCGCTTTGTGTTAGGCTCTAATATTTAATCTGGCGGAGTCAGCGTTTTTCAACTCATGATTTTGAAATGTTTGCACAACCTGTATGAATTGTTCTCATTTTAATTGACGAAAAAAAATATGTATTATAGGAAAATATAACATGTGTTTTGTAAATATTATGGTGGTTCCGTATCAAACTTACTGATTTCCAAAACACACGAATTTCTACACAATTTCTTATAGCCTATTACAATCGATGGCGAGAAATCAACAGCCAGGCGATAAAGTGTAAAGCCCGGCGATAGGAACTATAGCCCGACTGTATACTTTTTTATAGCTTCGTATATAGCCCGGCCGTATGATTTTCTCCGCATTCTACAGCCAGCTATATGATTTTCTGTAGCCTTCTTTAGCCGGCTATAAGAATTCCTATGGTATTTTGAAACGCAGCTCTTATCGCCAATTTTTACCAGGGTAGCGATTTTCATATTAACGAATTGGCTGCCATTTGGGCCCTAAGACCATCATAGGTACTTCTACGTGTGTCAACTCTCCCCACATAGGTACTGTACCCTAAGACAATGTGGGATGGGATACTGCTGTGCTAGGAAAAAACGCTGTATAAGCATTCAGGCTTTGCCGAATTTACACTGATAAAATTCGAATTTATTGAGGAAGCTGTAAATATTTTCCTTCATATTTGTCAAACTATTTTATTCACAATTCGATTTAAAATACCAGAAAGTCGCAAAAGAAAATATGCATACATTTTGTCAAAAATACATGTTTTATCCGGGGCAACTCTCGCACGGCGTTCTCCCTTAGCACGGCTGGATAAGAGGAGGAATGGAGATGTTGCATGTGTGAGGGATTTGCGATTTGACCATTGATTCTTATGTAAAAGTTCGCGAGAAACACGATGGTGCCACTGATTTTCTCTGAAATCAACTCTCAAGCTCAAAAACAGCTCTCAAAGTGAAGCCAAAATGGAGGGGATATCCCACCCTACCCTGAGAGTCCACCTCTACATCAAAACAAACTCTCCATGCAAAGATAAGGAGCAAATACATTGCGGCAGGGTTGCCACTTTATTTGGGGACTCCAAAACTGAAAACACGGCATCACTGCTAATGTATTTGCTCCCTATCTTTGCATGGAGAGTTTGTTTTGATGTAGAGGTGGACTCTCAGGGTAGGGTGAGATATCCCCTCCATTTTGGCCCTACTTTGAGAGCTTTTTTTGAGCTTGGGAGATGATTTCAGAGAAAACCAGTGGCACCATCGTGTTTCTCGCGAACTTTTACATGAGAATCAATGGTCAAATCGCAAATCCCTCACACATGCAACATCTCCATTTCAGGAGCGCGGTTATTTTTCGCGAGCATGTGGCAGCACCTCGAAGGGGTGGCTAACAATTGAATGGGGGTCAGCAGAAATGGCGGGATTAAAATATTTGGGGAGGAAGAGTGCGAGTCGGGTCATTTTCGAGGCACCGCCAGAGATATTAGTCGTGACGAAGGTTAGCGCCGATCCCCNGGGGGGGGGGGGGGGGGGGAGAGAGAGGAAGAGCCCGGCACATTTGTCGCTCGGCTCCGGGGATGTTGACGCGTAGCTCCCCGTGTGTCGTGAGCCCTGGCGGTGACGCGGTTAAATGGACGACGGGGCTCACGTCGGGGAATAGTTAGGTCCTTACACGGATGACATGTGGCTCGGCGTTGGCGTCGCATCGTCGGCGCTTTCAGAGCCCGGCAGAAAAACCGCGTGGCTTCGCGCTCAACGTTGACAATTAAAGCCGCGGCCACACTGGCACCGCGCGACGCCGACTCGCCCGCGCCGCGCCAACGAGTGGAACTAGAGTCCTTTTATACTGAGAGTCAAGACAACACCCCCTCATGGAGTCACAAACGGGAATAATGATTACACAAATTGAACGTCTTTCGTAATCTTTGATCGGACCATTCTCAAATTCCTTTCTCCGTTCCTTCTCTCATTCCGTTTGTTCCTTGTCGCACCCGTTATTCCTCGGTCCATTCTAGATTATAATCTTTGCAATCGGTGAAACTGTAACCTTTATTCCCGTCTGTGGCACTGTGGAGGCCTAAAATACGGGAACCAATCAGAAATGGATTCACATTGTCTGAACTCTCAGTATAAAGGGACTCTAAGTGGAACCAGCAACAATAAATGGACCACGTTCAGAAGAAAGGAACCAAGGCACAATAACAATTGCAAAATTTAATTCGGCGATTTGATGTTTTACGAGAGAACGGTTGTGCGGATTCCTTTGAAAATTTTGGGAACTTTGCTTTGTGGTATGTAGAAAATTCACTGGAATTTATACAAGAATCCGCACAACCACTATCATGTTAAAAATTAAAGGTAGTTCAAAATCTAGAAACATGTTGGTTGTCTCTTAAACGAATTCCAAAGCTCAAAAAAGCTCTCAAAGTTGAAGCCGTAAAGGCGGGGATATCCCACGCTATCCTGTGACTCCACCTCTAAATCTAGTCAAACTCTCGATGCAAAGATAGAACATTAAGGCGCCGTGGCACGCGCGCATAACTCGTATTGGCTCTTACAAACCTAAAGGGATACTTCAAGCATTGCGCAATGCGTGAAGTATCCCCTTAGGTTTGTAGGCGCCAGTGCGAGTTCCGAGCTGGCAGCACGCCACTCCGCTCTGTGTTGCGGGGCTCTAATGTTTAAACTCGCGGAGTCAGCGTTTTTCAACTCATGATTTTGAAACTTTTGCACACTCTGCGTGGATTATTCTCATTTAAATTGCTGAGGGAAAATGTATTAAAGGAAAATATAGAGAGTGAATACATCAGGAAGGTTGCCAAATTTTAAGTTTTGGAGTCCCTAAAGAAAGTGGAGCCCTTTCAATGGAATATCTCCCTATGTTTGCATGGAGAGTTTGGCTTATATGATATAGAGGCGGAATCTATTCACATATTTATTCGTCGATTTAAGTTACACCCTCCTATTTGTCCTTGGTATTTTTTGCCGATCGCTTTATCTATAAATTTCAAGAATCAGACGTCGCGCGACCGATTTTGCGGCGCACGCTGTGCTTGTGGAGACGCGGCCGAATGCTCCGGCGCCTTGCCCGTTGGTGAGACCGTTTTTTGCAACAACTCGGTGAGATGTCGCTCGACCGTAAAAGTTCGGGAAAAAATGTTTGCGGCTTTCGTAATTAATGAGAAAAATCTAAAAATTAAACGGGGCCTTGAAATTACTCCCCATTCGAGTCTTGTTTGCGGTTGTCTGCGGGAAAAAGGGGCCTTATTCCATGGAGGCAAAATGTTCAATTTTAAGAGGCTGCAATTTAGCGGCGCATTTTGCAGCTTGGCAACGCTGCGTTGAATGTATGTGATACAATCATTATTTATCGAAGCAGGCTGCTTCGTCTACAATCGGTTGTTTATAATAATTGACTAGAACGGAGGGAATACAACGATGCCAACAGGGGCGGATCATTTACTCGCTCGTGAGTGTTGTCAAATTATACGATGAAACTTGGATGGCTGTCTAAAGAAATATACCACGCTCAAAAAACAAATAAACAAATAAATTAATAATAAAAATATAAAAATAAGAGAAAAAAATCTTTCTCAGTCTTAAATACCGATGATCTAATAATTTTATCGGGTCCGGCAACAAAGAAGTCGGTAACGGTTACATTTTTGGAAATCCTCGGTAATTATACCGCCTCTCCATTAATTTCACAATTATTATCATAAGAATTCCATGCTCTTTGAAAACGATGTCCATAAAACTACCGAGACAAGTTAAATTTTCATCAGTTCCCGGAGATGACTTCCAGAAAAAAAAGTTAGGAGAAAATCTGTCAGGATGGCCGCTCAGGTCACTTTAATTTTGTACATGGCACGTTACCCACCCCCCTTCTTCCACCTAATTACTCCTCACTTTACGTCCTTTACTCATAAAGCAAAGTCCTAGGACTTTTGATCATCACAATACGTTGCAAAGCATAGCGCGGCAAGAAGGGAAGTCGAAACGCCTTCAATTTTTTGTATATGCACCACGCACATCCCCGAAGCACGAATAGTTGCGTGTTCAGACGTGATTATCGGAATCATGTATGATGGCCCATCTAAAAACGTGGTGGTTTGATAAGTTGCGTCTTTTTTTAAAGAAAGGAAGGTCTCCTACACACATCAATCATCGAAATGAATTATGACTCATAAAACCGATGCATTATAAAAGTAAGTAAATAAGATTTGGCAAAAACTTGGGTAAATAACTTTCGGTCTTGAACGAGAGTGTTTGAAAGAAGCAGGTTCAACTCTACACTACATAGGCGCGGATTTGGGTATCAGTTTCGAGAGAGGTGAAAGCATCTTACCTCTGCGACTTTCTCTGTCATTTTGGGTGTGTGAAGAGCGCCTTGGAAAAATTTGGCCGATCCGTTATCTGGCAGTGCAAACTGGAATCAAAAAGTATGTGCGGTATTGGCAAAAGCAGCGATTGATTAGGGGTAGACAGCTAGGTGTACTTATGCGGGCGTAGCTTACGCAATACACAGTGATAACACTCTGCAATTAATGAGAACAAACTCAAAATAGGCAAATTGATGGAAAAGCACTATGAAATTAATAAGGAACTGAAATTGACGAGAACGAACGAAGCTGTTCTTGTTGAAATATTTGTCTCGTACTCATGCGTCTCATCGCATTACTGTATTAAAATTCGTTCATACTTTTTCTTCCTATTTAATCTTCTTTGTTTATCGTGAGATTCTTGAGACCTTCCTACGTAAGAAATTACAACAAATTCCATGCTCGTGATTCTCTCAAATATGTAATAATTTTTTGGAAAAATTGCCACCGTCTACAGGTAAAGAGACCTCATCGTCTACGGCAGCAATAATTTCATTGAGGAAGTTTTCGTGTTGGGTCCAAGTATCCGAATTCGAAATTTCGATGAAGAATTTTCTCAAGTGTCTAAAAATAAGTTGCAAGCAGCTGGGTACATGTTTGTGGAAACAGAGGGCATAATGTTTTTCATTTTGTACCCTAAACCTGAAAGATTAGGATTCAATACCACTTTTCTTGGGTCTAGATTTGGACCTGCTAACTTCAAACTACCATAACTTTGGTTCAGTGTCACATTTTCGGACGTTTTATCCCCTAAATATTCGTTGGTCAGTCTTCATTACTCTGATGTTAATAACTTTATGCTGAATTTCTGTGGGATAAAGTCATTTTCCCCGTGGTCGGTAACGATTGGACGTATTTCTGCCAAACGGAACAAAGTGCAGTATGATGTGAGCCCTGTTATGCATGTATTCTAATGGGTCCTAGGGCTCATGTTTTAATGCTCATAGTTCCGTTTGGCAGAAATAAGTCCAATATTGATTTAAAAAACATATCATGATTTGAATCAAATAAATTTGTTCCAACCCCTCTAGAGAACTTCAAGTTGACATGATAGTGTCTCCTTATATTTTACGATCGATTTTAAATGCATCCACCTAGGAAAGTATATGGACCATTTTCAAAAGCAAGTGCTACATTTTTTTTTCGACACGGAAAAACAGTGTTCTCAATGCGATGAATACAAAAGTAAAAAATGATAACGCGATTAGCTTGTAACAACTGATGCTTGCAAAAAGGATATGCGCCGCAACTTTAGGATAAATGCTTACTCATTCTCAATAAAATTTAAGATATTCCTCTGAGAACTTACCTTCTCTCTGTCACTCGTGTATTGGATATAAAATGCGCATTTTTGTGGCCACCAGGCACCAACGACTAAGATACTTTGTTCATTCAGTGGGTCATCCAAAAAGTAAGTTTTCATATTAGTATCTTTCGAAATAAAGAAAATAAATCAAATTGATAAAAATGTACATATCAGGCATACTCTTAAATTTAATGTAAGCCCAGATTTTAAAACTCCGTAGATGGCATTGGTGGATCCAGCTAATTGACAACATTGTCTTTTCTCCATTTAAACCTATCGAAACGTATCGATCCTTGGAAGGGTCAGGTGCTCCGACAAGAATCGATTATTTAGCATAGGTTTAAATGGAGGAAATCCGGTGTTGCCAATTGCTGGATCCGCCTCTGATGGATAGATTCGCGAGAAAACTTCTTATTGAGATACCTTGGTGACGGCAACGTGCTCTCAGTCTTTGACTTTTTGCGCGAATTTCAGAATAGATTTCTAAATTTGTGCACTTAATTTAAAGCTAAGAGTATGCTTAATACGTATTTTTTTACCGATTTCATAGACTTTCCTTAATTCGGAAGATATAAACGAGTATTCTCCTTTTTGAATGACATTCAGAGAGAAAAAAAAAACTGGCGTGCATTCAGACGATCAATCCGTTTTAAAATTGAGCGTACTTCTCTGAACTGACTTGATTACGCTGAAATTGGAAGGAAAATCTGCACACGATTACTCTGCGAAGTGGACTAAAATTTCTTACCTTTTGTCTGATGGCTTCTGATACTCCAACATTGTTCAAGGATAGGGTTTGGTCCCAAGGGCAAGAAGTTCGACACTTTTGTAAATCGGACTCCGAGGAAGTGTTTGGAAAATATTTGGCTATGTGGTTCCTTGTTGCTGCGAATTCAAAGAGAGAGAACACCAAACGTCAGTTTACCACAAAAATAAGGTTTTAAATACCCTGATGGATCGCGAAGAAATTTTCCCTATGCTCCTAGGTGGATCTGGGGTGGGGAGCGAACGGCCCTCTCACACTTTTATAGTCAAATTGGACAGGATTTTTAGTTGTCCAAATCTTTGGGCTTAATTGTCGGAAGAAGCATTGTGTGAATGAACAAGAAATAAACATGGATCAAGTTTAAACAGATTTCCATTTCAAATTGGGTAGAAAATTTTCAGAGCACTGCCTCCATACGAATAGACATAGCTCAACCAATTTTTTTTCCGGCAAAAGTAGCGAAAAGGACGGATTTTAGCGTCATTCGTCCATAAATGTATATTTTCAAATCAATTGAGAACGAACCGACAAAAAAACTTTCTTCTTGATCCACCAAAGTATGGACAGCAAAAGAAAACGAATTTGCAAAAAAATGAATGCTGCAAGAGAGAAAATAAGTGAGAGAAATCAGAGTCCTAGTAAAATTATCTGAACTGGAGCAAAATTTAACTAAGGGTATAGCAAATACTACGTGGAATTTGATTTCTTCCACCAGAAAGTCTTCCTGAGTTCAAAATCAGATAGACTCATGCATGGAGAAAATTTTGTCTTGTGCAGCTACAGCGCAACTAAATAAAATAAATTACCTTCTGCATTAATCGATAGCAGCCGCAAATGATATTGCCTGCTACAGTGTGGGGAACTGTACCCTTATCATTCCGAGGAAAAAAGTTAAGAGTGAGAGAGTAATAGTAATATTGAACAAAAAACCCCATGTTTGGTATGTGAATCGTTTAGTAACATTGAGCTTCCGTCCTTTCGCAACGCAATGTAGCACAACCCAACCTCCCCGCAGCGAGACGCAGAACTGTATTCTGGTGCGATACTGAGTCCGTTGAGCCTATGCTCCGTGAGTCCGACTATATTCGGACCGTATTCGGTTATTGATGGGTGAGTCCCCAAGAGAAACAAATTTTATTCAGATTTTGACCCAAGTTGTTTCAATACAACGCAATGAGGCTGAAAATCGCAACATTTAACAAAGTAAAATGGGAAGGTTGATGTTTTGTCTCAGCTGGTTCAGAAAATCTGCTCGGCCGATTTTTATGATTTTTGCTTTCGACGTAACTTTCGACAGGCATCTCGAAACGACTACAAAACCCCAGAGATTATACCTGAGTCTAAGGATGAACTTGATATAATTGAATCATTACGAATAAAACCAAAGGAAGCAAGCGGGGTAAGTAAAGAGAAGGAAATTATGATTGGCTGCTTTTGCCGTTTTACTAGTTTCCACAAGTTTTAATATTTGGTTAAAAAAAGAAATTCAGAGCTTGGAAAGTATTTAATTTATCTTAAATTTGCACTAAGCGAGAAATGAAATCACCGTCATACAACCGGTGGCGATTTTGCAAGTTTGTAACACTGTTTTCTCACCATGTTAATCCATTTTAAAAAAATCGATTTTAAGTGAGGCATGCTGCCACTACCAAGAATCATTTTACATACATTCAGATGGATGGAAAACAGTGTTGCCTACTTTGAAGAATCGCCCCTGGGTCTTTCAGCGGTGTGCCGCCATTGCGAGACGCGCGCCCGAGTCGGCGCCTACAAACCTAACAGGGATACTTCACGCATTACGCAATGCGTGAAGTATCCCTGTTAGGTTTGTAGGCGCCTACGTGCCTGGTTGCCCGCCGCGCCGCGGAGTGCCAAGGCGCTTCAAGCAACTATTTCGCAACAGAGGCGTTGCACAGCATCATATGAAATTGAAGGCGCTCTAACAAGTCAAGTCTATTAGGCATCCTTTAAGAGTACGAGCTTTCCTCGCAAAATAAATGAAGATACTACAGCACCAAACGAGAATGGTGCTCTAAAAGACTCAATAAGTCCTAGCATCCGTCTTGAATAACGTTTAGCATTATTTTTGAATTCCATTAGAGATGAAAGTGACTCGATTTCGGTAGAAACATTCTTGATTATGCCGTCAAGAAGATTTTATTTTGAACCAAGAATAAAATGGACGTATTTCTACCAAACAGAACTATGTGGAGGTGAGAAATATGGGGTGTGCTCGTTAGTTCTCTTTGCGTAAGAGTGAATGAGAATAATAAAGCGCCAGTGACGTCAGCGGCAATGATCGAGACCACGCACGAGGGGAAGATCGTCGTCGGGGCGTTGTAACTCATGAGCCCTGTGCACAACGCTCTCTTGCCATGCCCGCGGCTCATGAATCTCGCATTCAGTTGGCACATAGGTCTGTTTGATAGAATGTAAAATCCCGCTTATCCAATTCTTCAAAAGGAATCACGCCCATTTTACATTGCTTCTTATGCAGCTTCAACGAGCACACCCCATATTTCTCACCTCCACATAGGTCTGTTTGGTAGAAATACGTCCAAATAGCGGAATGAAAAATTTTCTTAACGCAAGTCATCTATGAATGCAAAACATACACTACACGATCCACTAAATAAACAGTCTAGGTGAGTAAGGCAGCCTCAGGCCATAGGTCCGCTTAAGGGAGTGACAGGTCGGTGCGTGTCAGAGGTCAGCAAGTAACGAATGATGCGAGACAAGAGGTGTCATCAATGTTGCATACGCTTGTATTGGAAGGCGACTCGTCCACCGGAAAAAGGAAATTTACCTTTTTTATTGAAGTATTAGGATAATCATTTAACAAGGTAACCTGCTACCTGCACTTTTTACAGTCCGGGTTACCAGATAACCCGTTTTGTAATAGACCCTTGAAATTCAAGAATTATGCTAAACATTATTAAAGACAGTTGCTAGGACTTAGTGAGTTTTTTTGGGGGTGCCACCCTTTTTTCGTGCGGTAGTATCTTGATTTATTTTGCGAGGAAAGCTCGTACTCTTAAAGGATGCTTGTCAGACTTGATTCGTTAGAGCGCCTTCAATTTCATATGATAATATGCAACACCTCTGTGGTGAAATAGTTGCTTGAAGCGCCTTGGCACTCCGCGGCGCGGCGGGCAACCAGGCGCATAGGCGCCTACAAACCTAACAGGGATACTTCACGCATTGCGCAATGCGTGAAGTATCCCTGTTAGGTTTGTAGGCGCCAGCGCGCGTCTCGCTCTGGCAGTACGCCGCTGAATGACACACGCCCCTGTATACAACTACCATCATCGTGCCAAAAGCATCAACTACGTATTAAGCATAAAAAAGTATTAGCCTTGTGGTGCCTAAAGCCTTGGTTGCGTGTATGTACAGTAACCTTGATTAGAGACTAAAAATTTGAACCAGCCACCCCGCTCCCTCCAAGTACAGACAGTTTCAAATATTATCAAGGTGAAAAAGAACTGTAAAAGCTTTGAAAGTCTAGAAAGGCGCTCCAAAATTTGATAGTAAGAAAGCCTTAATGTTCACGAGAGGAAATGCATCTAGCTACGGTGTTTGAAGGTGAGTTCTACTTTCAAGATTTAGATCCAGTGGTGTGCAAATAAAAGTTGGTACGATATATAAGAGGCGGATATTATTGGGCGGATTTAATTGGAATCGCCCTGACTGCATTCCACGCTGCCTTGTTTTCTCTCATGTTTTATCTTTTTAGCAAAGAATCAAATTACTTGGACCGAGCTAAGCAGAAAGGAACGAAGCCACATCAGCTATTGTTAAATTTGATAAAGTAATCTATTTTTACATGAAAACGGGAGTACGGATTACTGTCCAAATTTCAGTAAATTTGCTGCATAATACGAAGCAAATTCCTTAAAATTTTCAAAGGAATCCGCAAAAATGTTTTCTTATAAAACATTTAAATTCTCCAGTTAAATTTGGCAATAGCTGATATGGCTTCGTTCCTCTCTCCTAAACGCAGTCCACTAATTAACGTTTTAGAGCTGTCGGCGAATTCACCCTAGATTATCAAGAAGTAACTTAAAAAATTTCAAGTTTCAGTGTTGCTCAGTTTTTGTTTAAAAATAAAGCACCAGAACGAATTTGGCAACGTCTGATATAATTAGGTTTATTCCCATTGAAAATCGGTCGTTTCAAGAAAAATGGAACTGCACGGAAATTTTTCTGACAAGTTCACTCTGAAAGCACCCGAGATTTTTTGCTCCATGTCGACTTAAAAGTGCAGGTACTGAAAGTATTTGTAGTACTTAGTTTATTCTTGCCAAATATTCCTTACAGTGCCATAAAGGCAGTTCAAGGACGGAAATCGAGGAAGAATTATAATCATAATTGCGCTGACTCTTGTTTCAGTGGTGATATTTGCACCAAAAGACATGGGTTTTGATAGATATATTTCATGCCTCCTTAGCTGTTTCACCTGAGTTAGATACTCCCGACATCGGAGTAGCCTGTTATTTTTTGTAACCGCATGCTTGCATTCATATTTGGACGGATTACTGCCAAACGGAACTATGTGCATGATTACGAGAGCCCTGTTGTGCATATATTTTTATGGGTCTCAGGGCTAATTTTTTTTTAGTCAATCTCAGGGCTCATGTCTTAATGCAAATTGTCCCGTTTGGCAGGAATACGCTCATTTGCACACAGTGAATCTTGTGTTGATATCCATCCGAAGTCAATGGATCTATTCAGGGACAATAAGACACTTCGACGGTAAAAGTTCGAAATTCAGTATTTCGATGTTTTCATTTCAAAATTACCGGCGTTGATTTCTACGTACCTATTTTGCTTTAAAAGAAACTTATGAAAACTAATCTGTGGAATTTTCACAGAGGATTCTGGAAAAACTCCGAGAATCAACGCGTCTTATTTAAGTTTTCTTCGCCAAAAATAAATCATATTAGTTTTTCGACTCTCAGTGTAGATTTCCTAAATTTTTAGCTGTGGCACAACATTCCGTCACCTTCCGGCCAAAGTATCAGAAGCGCCGTGCGATGTTTAAATCTTTCTCCCGCCATTTTATTCTTCACAGATAAATTGTTGGTTGAAAATTTTACTGAATTTACTTTGTGCTGCCGATAAAATTCAGTGAAATTTTTAAAAAGATGCAACCAATGATAGGTCTGTTAAAAAATAAAATGGCGACGGAAATTTTGAAACGTCGCATGGCGCTTGTGATACTTTTGCCCGAAGGTGACGATTTGACTCTCAGGTATTCTTTATATTTATTCTTACTTTTTCTCACTCCCCTTTTGACTGTTTAACAACTAAGCGGTTTATCCAGGAGTGTAATCAGACTGTGTTGTGTTTGTAAGATAGATTACTGTGTGCGTTGCTCAACGGCCAGGAAGAGACGAGCACTGGAGCCTCGAGAGTGAAGCTCCCGTTTGCTTGGAGCTTAGACGCGCTCATCCCGTTTTGTTTGTGGATCTATCATACTTTAGGTAAGTGACACAGTGGAATCCTCTTCCAAGAGCCACTCGACGAAAACTGGTGAAACTAGAGCAGAGACGGTTCTCGGAATCGGACTACATTTTGCAAACAAGAAATACTATTCCTGAATATTTTTAGAACGTACAAATCGTCACCTTCCTATCACAAGCGCCATGCGAAGTTTCAAAATTTCCGCAGCCATTTTATTTATTTACAGAGAAATTTTTGGTTGAGTCTGTTTGAAAACTTCACCGAATTTTATCGGCAGTACAAAGAAAGTTCAGTAACATTTTCGGACAGCTGTGTTGAAAAAATTTCTCCGTAAAAAAGATAAAATTGCGGCGGAAATTTTAAAACGTCGCATGGTGCTTGTGATACTTTGACCGGAAGGTAACAATAATGTGCCACGATATTCCTCATGCAGATAAGTGTTTTTTCAGATGAGCCAAAAAAGTGGTTCCCACACCGGAATGGAGTCAAATTTGGCGACACTGAGTTCCTTGAATTTTAATGTGCCGGTGTTAAACAATTAGCATCTGTCAACGCAAGCTGCTTCACATCTAAAATCTATTATATATAATGGATTCAAATGAAGGGAACACGGCGTTGCTAATTTGAGGGGACCGCCGTTGATCCGGAAGTTTCCGAAATCGGGATTTGACATCGACTGACTTCGAGCTTATATTGCTGCAAATTCTTAGCACTTGAATTTATCGGAGCCGATGCCGGTCGTCATAAGAAAAAGAAAAAGAAACTCTAATATGAATGAAGATGACGGTTAAATACTGTGCATTTGTAAACTCGGCTGCAGAGCTAGATTTCGGAAACTTTAGGTTGCCTCCACATTCATCTGAAGACAAATTTTTACCTGCTATTACTATAATCCTGCGATAATGTGTACTTCATCAACATGTTTTCTTGTTGTTTCTTTGTTAGCCGTCTAACAATGAAATGTTCACAACAAGTTTGCCGAACAAGTGCTTGTTTATCAAGTTGAAACTCCCGACCGGTTTGCGATGTATTACAATCTCCACTCCTGATTTATTTTTTAAATGAGAACAATTCGACAATGATCCTTTAAGTTTTCTTATAATTTGGCTGGCAGAAAAAAGAAGAACCATCGATTACCATCGATTATCGAACCCGTCACTTGACGCCCATCAAGAGGGTATCAAGAAATCAACTATCTGCATGAGGAAATTGATGAGACATTATGTTGTTATGTTGTTGAGACGTTATGTTGTTGACAGCAATGTTGTTATGTTTCTAAAATGAGCGAGAAATAGTGTTTCTGTGCCTTAATTTCACATTTTTCACACCCTACAAATGGACTACATTCCACATTGCAAAATTTAGTACAAATTTTCTGAATTTCTCGGTGTAAATTGTGGGATCACAAAAGCAGGCAATTTTATCAATCGTTAGGAGGCTAGTTGGACCGCGTTTAGCAGAAAGGAACACAGTTACATCAGCTATTGCCAAATTTAACTGGGTAATTTAATTTTTCACAAGAGGTCGTTTGTGAGAATTTATTTAAAAAGTTTAAGGAATTTGCCGCGTACCGTGCACAAAATTCACTGAAATTTGCACTCACAATTGTCTCCACGTAAAAACTTAGATTGCCCAATCAAATTTGGCGATAGCTGATGTGGCTTGCCGACTTTCTGCTTGACGCGGTCCAGTTGAGAGTCTGATTCATTCAGTTTCTCTTGGAAAAGAATGTCTCGACCGTGTTCACTTACCATGCTCAGTTTCCGCGAATGAACTACGATGAAAAACATGCTGACTCCATGACAAAGCATAGAGGAAAACCTTCCCAATACCAAACCCACCAAATCTCCCCACACAGACCTCTTTTTCTCCAGCAAGCTTGGGTTCTTTTTCACATAATGTAATTCAGTTAAGATTCTATCGTCGTATTCAGAGACAATATATTTTAGATACTCCACCATGCTATTTTCCGTTCGTATGAAATACTACAGTTTGTGGTCCAGGGAGCTGAAGTCTTCAGCTAAATGGACCGAACTGAGGTTTGGGTAAACGAAGTTTTTGGTAGCCGTACAAACCCTCCCGTTACATGAAATGAAAATTTGGTTCCTAGGACTGAGAACTTTAGCCTTCCACATGAACTGAAGTTCAGCCCTTTCAGCGGAAGTTTTTTCTCCGTGATAGTGTTTAAGGTACCTACGGAGGTCAACACTCAAAGTCGCAATAGCTCAAAAATCACGATGAGCGCATAGAGAGAGTCTGAAATACACTCATAACTTCAGAATCTGCATCAGAAATATGTTTTTTTTTTAAAATGTATAATCGCGCCGGTTGATAAAATCACTTTTTGTCACGTGTGATTTGGCGGGTTGGCGTCGGCCATATTGTATATTGCGTAGCATCCTAGTGCGCAAAGTTTTGACGGAACAACTCCTCTTACGAAATGTTCACCTGTGCCGGTATCGTTTTAATCAGGAAGCTTAAACAAACGCATATTTTTTACACAGATTGTGAAGTTATGAGTGTATTTCAGACTTTCCCTATGCGCTTACCGTGATTTTTGAGCCATTTTCTTCAAGAAGTAACCCTTCTATTTGCTCTAGCTGAAGTTTGCAATAGGCCCATTGGTTTAGTAATCTTAATCCTATTCGCAAGAACTCCTTTAACGAAGATTTCAGCCCGTCATTCATCGGTCATCATTCGTCACCTTACGTCCGAAGTATCACACGTACCATGAGACGTTTCAAAGTTTAACCCGCCATTCGATTCTTTTACAGAGAAACTTTTGGATGAACCTGTTTCAAAATTTCACTAAAATTTTATCGGCAGCACGAAGAAAATTCAAGGAAATTCTCCGATAGATTCGTTGAACAATTTCGTTTTAAAAACATAAAATGGCGGCGGAAATTTTAAAACGTCGCAAGGCGTTTGTAATAATTTGGCTGAAAGGTAACGAATTTGGCGAATTTAGTGAATTGTAAGTTGCTAATGAATTATCATCGGGCTAAAAGTAGCGTTTGGCCTGCGACTTTAACTTTTGCCTCGCCTGATTAGGTTGCTTAAATTGGATTGCATTTTGCAAAAATAGGAGCCAAGACATTCCTTGCAATAAAATTACTGAAACCTTGCAAAAAATCAAATCTACTATGGTAATTTTCGTATTGAATTAATAGTTTGTTGGGAGTCAAGATAAAACTGGTATAGATGATCAGTTGAACGTATTTCTGTCAAACGGAACTAAGCGCCATAGGGTGAGGAATGTAGGGGGGACTTGGATTGGAGGCGAAACCGTGCGTCGGGCTCATTCCGTCCTATACTCGCAATGCTTTTCCATGGCGCTTAGTTCCGTTTGACAGAACGCGCTATCCGGCATTCTAAATTCCTCAAAAGGAACCCAAATTGGCGCTTAGTTCCGTTTGACAGAAATACGTCCAGTTTATATTTGCAAGGTAAAAAAATGTTGCGAAATCTTGGCGACATTGGAATGCTTGTGGTTCCTTTTTGCAAAATGCGATCAAATATATTGTCCGTGCAAGGTCCCTAAAATGGACCGCGTTAAACAAAAAGGAACCAAGCCACATCAGCTATTGCCAAATTTAATCGGGCATTTTAATTTTTTACATGAAAACGGTTGTGCGGATTTTTGTGCGAATTTCTATGAATTTTCTCCATAATACACAGCAAATTCCTTAACATTTTCAAAGGAATCCGCACAAACGTTCTCTCGTAAAAGATCAAATTCCCCTGTTCAATTTGGCAATAGCTGATGTGGCTTGGTTCCTTTCTGTTTAACGTGGTCCAAATGTACTGTCTCTGGTCGTGGTGGATCTTGTTGATGTTGTACAGGAGTGTGATGGATTCTACTCAAAGCGGTTTATAACGTGGCTGAGAGCCGTGCCGGGCAACTCTACTAAGCAGTAACTGCGAAATTACGAAAGCCGGCTACAGCTGAATGATTTGCAAGTCCTCGGACTGGACGTCCCATACCTTCTGATATGTTATCGAGTGTATGCGATCTCGGATTTTGCACCACCGTCTCGGTAGTGGAGGAGAACGTTACTGTAGGAAAAATAACCCATCAGAAGTCAAGAAAAAGCTGCTCAATAGATAATGGACCACTAGACAAGGTACGAATTTAAGCAATCTGATACATGTTTCTTAACCAGAATTTCACTTAGAACACGATTCGCACAACGAAAACTAATGAAACCAACTCCTAACGAAGATATTAACATTTTTATATCACATTGGTTACGAGGAATTTGAACTGCCCGCTCACAAGAAACTCAAAGCTCTACGTGAGTCAAATCGCCCACTACAACGGTTTCAGCAAGCTTCTCAATCGAGCAATGTTCATTTCCCACCATGAGTTGTTCAAACTATAAACAACTTGTTATAGCTGAGCCAAAGCGTCAAGATTGAGGTTGCCAGGTTTTTTTTCGCAGAGGCTGTCATGATAACGTTTAGCGCGCGATGTGAGTCACGTAGAGCATTGAGTTTTCATTAGCGGGTGGTTTGAATTCACGCATCAAGAACTATTGAATATCTTCGTTTGGATGTGATTTCGGTAATTTTCGTTGTGCGCATCGTATTTTACGTGAAATTTTGGTTAAGAAACATGTATCAAAATGCTGAAATTTGCACCTTGTCTAGTGGTCCATTATGCTCCGATGAACATCACAGAATATATCCACGGCTAAAGTCGACAAATGCGTATCGTTTCAAAACGCGTATCGCAACGTTTCAAAATTTCAAAAATAAACCCAACAAAAATATGTACAGCATTTAGCAAAAAAGAACCAGCAGAATTTACAGTGTTATCAAAATTTTACTTCGTCGTGATTATCTAAAAAAATTCCCGGAACAGCAAACTTTGTATTGCTCCCCACCAATAAATTGTCAATTTTAAAGGGAAATAATTGTGTGAATTTAAACACTGTCCATAAATGGAGTATTTTTAAAAAATAAGAAGTTGCGCCGTTTCGGAAACAATGTAATCGCGCTGGTTCCTTTTTGCCAAATGCGATTCATACATCCTTGGAATTTTTTGTGAGAATGTTTGAATGAGAGACAGCCCCTGAAGGAAGTTCATTAAAAAATTCAAGAAAAACTGTGGGTCAATTTTTTTAAATAAATAAAACTCGAGCGTAAATTTACAACGTTGCGATGAGACATACGCATTTCCCAAATTTAGCCATCGATAGAGGAGTAAAAGTTAGAAAATTACTCAAATAATGTGCAAAAATTTCGAACTTTGGAGATGATCGATTGGAAAATTCTGAGTAACTAGAAAATTCACTCACAAGGAAAGAACTATAGCTCTTTAAAAAGCCGGAAATATTTTTTCATAAAATAGTTTTTCACTGAAACAAGAAGCAATTTTATTGAGGCAAAAAAATTCTAGAATGTACCACCGAGAAGAATTTTCTCTTGATCCAAGAAGAAAATCGCGTATTCTGAGCAGAAACCTGCTCGATTCAAGTGACTTTATTCTCAACTCGAGATAAATAATCTTGACACTAAATTCAAGTGATTTTTCTCATTGTATTAAATGAATGGAAAACTTTCTTTCAAAAACACAACCTAGAAAACGATTTTTAGGAAAGGGTCTTGAGAATCGGTTTCGATATGTTTCCGACTTTCACGATTTGCTGGGGAAGACTGAAAATACGTCCCCTCTTCTTACACAATTATTGTGCAATCTACCTTTCACTAAGTGCCTAACCTTGTGTGCGATAAAAATTATTCCGAGTCAAATTTTTTGTCCTCCTAAATTAAGTTGATAAGTTTAGCTGGAAGCATTTCCTCTCTTTTGAAGTTTGTTTAATTAAATGTACAAGGGAAGGATAAAAGGTTTGACGAGAAGTGCTCAGCCTCTTGGCGCACCCTTGAAAATGCAGCTTCCTTCGCGCCATGCTTAAATTGAAACTTGGTCCTCAAAACTATTCACGTTTACGAAAGCACTTAACCACACTTATGAGGCGAAACTTCCTAACAAGATACACCCGCTCTAATCGCAAATTCTCTCAAGCGCGATTCTTCTTTACTTTTTAAACCACGAGGAGGCCGATGTCTTCAATTTATGATTTACAGTCTTAATTAATCGCCAGTGTTAGTAAGCAATTACCTTCCACAATAAAAGGACCCTGGTGCGAAAAATCAAATTTTTCCAGAGCGCACTTTTTCTTCTTTGTAGATCATTGCATTAAACTTTTTAACGGAAAACTTGCTCTTACAATGTCAAACAGTTAACATCTGAGCGGTCCAAGTCATCAATGTGCCAAAAGAGGGTGAAAGTGGACCGCTTTAAGCAGAAATAAGCCAAGCCACATCAAATATAGCCAAATTTAATTGGGCAATTTAATTTTCTGCACGAAAGCGGTTGTGCGAATTTTCAGGAAAATTTCAGTAAAAATTTGCGAAGCACGAATTGAATTCCTTGACATTTTCAAAGGAATCCGCACAAACGTTCTCTTGTCAAAAAATAAATCGTCCAGTTACATTTGACAATAGCTGATGTGGCTTGGTTCCTTTCTGCTAAACGTAGTCCAGTTGCATTCCAAAAATAGCCCTGAATTTAAGAGATAAAACCTCCAGGTTGAATTTAAGGTCGTTCCTTAAACAAATTCTTATCTCAGGAGGCCACATGTGGTTTCCATTGTGTTTCTGGGAGGTTTAGACTAGTATCACATCACAGAAAGGACAATCCTTGCCAACCTCAAGTACAATTCAGCACTGCAACTTTGGAAATGTGTTCTGCGATGGGATTGCAATGGTTTACCTGTGCGAATCATTCAAACTACGAGAGAAAATATATTGCGATTCCTATAGCTTCTAAGGTAGTTTCGCACCTGCCCTAAAGTTTGTCAAAACCATACAATTTTTTCCTCCGTATTTTGTACATTTTGCAGTGGATATTCATTTTGACTCTGTGCAAAAATCCATTTCCAAGGTTATCTTTCCGAATTTTGCTCGAGGCTGGCAAAAACTGTCCCTCTTATGTTGCTCATCTGAGTGCTTCCTTCAGCCTCCCTTGTTCACAATTTGAACAAAATGGGGTCTTCTGAGGAAGGAGCTATTTAATGAATGATAATGAATAAGTGCAACATTTAATGATGTTCTATTCAAAACTTCGTTCTTTAAACAGCTATTTTCGAAATGTCACGAGTCCGGTTCATTTGATTTTTTGAAACATTCTTCAAAAACTTTTCAGAGTGCTGGAACATTCAATTTTGAGATTTTTGCGACCAAGGCCCCTTTTTTCGTGGACGGTCGCTGTTGGTACAGAGTTTTCAATCTTGAAACGAGACTGGAGCAGGGATCACATCTTTCTAGAATCAATTTTTTTAATTCCCTCACATCAGGCACATGCAAAAGTCACCAGTTTTAATCAATAATTTAACTGAAAATACCAACGCAATTACGCCACTAGCTTGTTCTAAAACAATTTCCAATCTCTAAAAAACTTTTAAAGTTGGTTTATGATGAAAGTGCAACACGTGTTTCATCGGTGAGTCCTTTCCCACATGCATTCAAATTCAGCATTCGAGGCACAAGGGTACATTCAAAAGTTTCAAAACTCATTCGGCTGTTTTCCACGGTTTAGCAATATGAGCTTTTCCTGTCAGGTTGTCAAAATGAGATGGGGTTCAAACTAACTTTGCCAAATTTCAGCTGTCTTTCTACCTCCTATTAGCGTATACTGCACTTTTACCCAAGATTTGACTACTGAAAATTTTCTCAATAGGTATCTTAGGGCGTTATTTTCACCTACAAAAATTCTTAATAATTTGAACGCTTTATTCGTGTAGAGTAGGGGATTTGGGAATAACTAGTGGACGATGAAAGATAGAACTCTGATGCCAAAAAAGAGGATTTTTTAGCCTTTTTTTCTACTCTGATTCATAAGTCAATTTTTCCAAGCAATTTTTCTTAGGGTCAACAATGAACAGGAATAACCAACTCCCACTATTTTTCCAACGAAAAACCAACGGCAGTGCCCGCCCTAAACTTCTGCAAAGGTTTCTTTTCGGTTCTCTTAATCGATCTCTTCGGGATCAGTTGCACATTAATGTGTTACTTAGGTACATCTAAAAAAAAAATCGAAAAAAAAATCAAGTGCAAACACAGCCGAGGATCAGAGAGACGTAATTGGGCCTCGCTCATAACTCTGATCCCGAATCTGAGCGACACTTCATTGGCAGCATAGAATGGTACATTGCGATTTCATGCTTCGGACCATCGCGCCTTCAATTCTGAAGATGCAACACGGACATCCATCAAGCACGAATAGTTGTATCTCTGCGCCGGCATCAACGCGCGTATTTTCACTTGCTTTACTTTCATATTGTGTTAGTTTCGAGTTAGTTGATCCCGTCCTGACTTTGACCCACAGAAATAATTGCCTTGAGGATATCGATCTAGTTTTGAGTCTGCTTTCGAGTTTGACCGAAATTTAAACTTCTTTTGCGGTTCTGTAAGGTGGATCTTGGAGCTTTAGATCTTCGCCCTTATTGGGAGAACGATTCGATTGTCGATCGATAATTGGACAAATTTCTGCCAAACGGAACCTGTATCGAGACGTGATCCCTGTTATGCATCTTTTCTTATGGGTTTCAGGGCTCATGTCCTAATGCACACAATTCCACACGGCAGAAATACGTCAAATTATTTCTGGATTTCGGGACTTGTCATAAAAATATCCGAGCATCACATCACGCCGTATGAAGTTAGATATTTGTACACATTTGACAAAGATTCACTCTGAAATAGCTTTAAAAGTTCTGAAGTCTCGAGAAATTTCGCAATCCGAAAGGAGCAACAAGTAGCGATATTTACTCGGGAAGGATTTCCGAAGTTATTTAGAAGTAGTCTTTGGTAAATTTTGTGTAAAAATACCTTATATACTACTACATGATAAGATACTTGTAACGTACTACAGAAATATCGTAAAATCTAGAAATTATTGATTGATCGATCGACCGACCAAATTGTTTTCCTGGAAGCTGAAAAACTAATTCAAGACTTTTCTCTTTTTTAAGAAAAAAATATTACATTTTGAAACAGCCTTTTGAAAAAGCGTCTCCAAAATGGACAAAATTTGCAAGCAGCTCTAGGCAAGAAGTTCACTGTGAGCGAAGAGGAGGTCGTAGATAGCTGAAATTTGGCACAACCTCCTACTATGACTATCCATCAGGAAAAGTTCCTGAATTAAGCTCGTCTTAGAAAAGAGTCACATGAGTCTGGAAAACATTGGTTCGCTTCTTTGTAGGGCCGATTTTGTGAAAATTGAGCATTGCTGAAATGACTGGGTTGTATATTGCTGCTTTAATACTTGAGGTCCTTTAACAAAATGAGAGGCCTGCATATCGACGGTGAAGCTACCAAACCACGTACCTCGTTTGCGGTGTTTACAAATCTACGCTCACATTTTATTTTTTTGAAGTAGACCAAATCAATATCATTCCTTGAAATTTTCACGGAATTTTCTCCGCACAAAGAGGAAAAATCACAGAAATTTTCAAGACTGGATGTTAAGTAGTTTTTCATTTAAAAAATAAAGTATGACAGGAAGTCTGCGACGTCGCAAACCGAGATACGTGGTTTGGTAGTTTCACCGTCGATATGTAAGTTCAACTGAACGTAGAGAGAGGCTCTGATACAGCACAGGGGGATCCCTCCATTCCATCACGATTTGTAAAGTTTTTTCTAGTTTAGGAGTATATTTCAGACAAAATCGGTGACAGAACCCGTTGAAGGAATTGTATAACGGAATCACACCCAACAATACTTACAAACACTAACTGTGGCTGCTCTAGAGTGGAGTTTATTCAGCTGACCGGTGTCCGTAACGGGAGATTTCTTGTGGATAGTATCTAAAGACGTCGTGTGAAGTCCATAACTATTCTTCCTATCGGAGTCACCTGATTCCTGTCCCTGGAAATTGAATAATTGACGGATTATAATAATTTGACGAATTTAAACGTTAACGTCCCTATAAACATTGAAACTAGTGGATACTCATGAAACATTAAATAGTGCATGTATGCAGCTTTGATCTTACCCGTATCGAATTTCGTCATGACGGAAAAAAGAGGCGGTATTATATGCCGACAGACAACTGATTTTAAACTGAAGAAACCAGTTGGTGCTGCACAGGGACTAATGGTGATGTACAGATATTACAGATAGTAATGTACAGAGAATAGGTGTATGTCATCAATTTGCTTGGTGCATGACACAGCATGGTTAAAGCTGGCTCAAACTCAGCAGCTGATTAGTACACAACATCAACATATTCATTTCATTCTTATTTTTTACCTCTTTTTTTCATAAAACGTAGTTAAAAAGTCAATATCATGCAACCAAACTGAAGAAAGATTTCGAATAAATGAACCGAGAGTATATTTACTACAACCAAAAACAAAATTAAATAAGTCAAGAACTAAGGATGTTGTTAAAAATTAAGCTGCGATACATTATGATCGAACATTTTTCTCCCAAGGCACAGTTTGGAATCGAAATCATATCAAAAAGTTTGGATGGTTGATTCTTTTCATCTCATACACACAAAACTTTCCCTTGAAGAGAATTTTACCGTCTGAATAATGCTTACTTTACAACACGTCATTTTGGATCGTTTGTATGCTTATTTTGTATCATCATATTTTTATATATTTTCTCCTTGTCGTTGACTTCAAAGGCCCATAGCAGAAAAGTTTGAAAATCGTTGCCCGTTGATCCGAGCAGAAGTTCGTGAGAGCGTTTTTGTTAGTATTAGGCACGGATGGATTTAAAAGAGCTTGTTTCCCCCGCATTGTACTTAGCCCCTTAAAAGGTGTAATTTCGCAAAATAACTGCGTGATATTTCTGATATTTTTTAATTCTTTCCCAATGATATTTCAGTTTTATGAGCTAAAAATTTTTTCCAAGACGTCCCAATTTCAACATTTTCCTGAAGAATCCTCCCCCTCCCACTCACACAGGAGGCGTGTCCTCAAGCCCCGTTAGTCAGGCGCCCTTCTGTGACCTCCCCAGCATGAAACCCTCCAACATTAAAAAGCTAATTCAAATACGGGGGTGGTTGAATTAGCACTTTTTTAGTGTAAAATCTACATTAAAACTTTTCGGACAATTTTTTAAACTACAAAATTATTAAATCAGCAATTTCATATTTCCGTGAATGCTCCTCGCTCGTGGATAATGTGAATAAAAAGCAAATGATAAAAGGTAAATAATACCAAGTAGACGCACCCCTTCTTGAGAGGTAACGGGCACTGTTGGTGTAGGCACATGGTTCGGTCCTGCTTCTGCCGCTTCCTCATTTCCGGCTACACTAGATCGCTCTTGCTCCAGCCTCGTCTCCAGACCGCTGCTCCCAGAAGAAAATTCAATCAAATTTCAATATTCACGAATTTTTTTCTCACAAATAAATTAAAATAAATCCAGGAATCTGTGGTGGGAAATCCGTTCTTAAAAAGAAAATAAGAGGAAAATCTTTTTTTGATCGGCTTTTTTATTTATTTGTTCATGGAATCTGTGTGGATCGTTTCTCCTTTTCATTCTTCGTTCGATTCATTTCGATCGAATACAGACGCTTTCGTTACATGCAGACTATTCCTATCATACTCTTTTTTTTTTAAATGAACAATTCACCTTCCGCTGCGTCTGCAGCAATTATTGTTACGAATATGTCGTGCGTGCTGATTTCAGCGCATTACATACTCGACTCTCTGAAGGCGTTTTTTGTGCACAAGTGGCGCAATCTGTCGGAGAACAAACGAAATAGGGATTAATCGATTCGTTCAATCTCAATTCTGTTGTTCTCTAACAGGGTGCTCTACTTTCGCACATTAAACGCCTTCGAAGAGTCAAGTATGTAATGAGCTGAAATCAGCACGCACAACATATTCATAACAACAATTGCTGCGGACGCAGCTGACGGCGAATTGAAAACAACCGTGTAAAACGCGTTGAAAACCATGATCTCACGTTGATCTCTTTAATTCGACGCATTTCTGTCAAACAAAACTCTGTGCAAGTGGGAAACATGGGGTGTGCTCGTTAGTGCTCGGGCCATAAGATTGAATGGGAAATGTTGTGCGCCAGTGGCGAAGCCGTCGTTGCGGCTCCTCGTAGTGGGCATTAACTCATGAGCCCTGCTCACAACGCTCTTGACACATGCCCATGGCTCATACACTCGACACATAGTTTCGTTTGACAGAATTTAAAATCCCGCCTTTCCAATTCAACAACAGAATGAAGAGCCAACTGAATGCGGCACCCGTGAGCCATGGACATGTGTCTAGAGCGTTGGGGCCAGGGCTCATGAGTTAATGCCCACTACGCCACTGGCGTACAATATTTCCCATTCATTCTTGAGGCCCGAGCACTAACGAGCGGAGCGGACCACATCTTTCCCACTTGCACATAGTTCTGTGCGACAGAAATACGTCCAATTAATATTTAAATAAGTCATTTGAGAAAAGTCGAAAAATTGCGAAAATATTAAATTCTCGCTCGAAGCGTGAGAAAATGAAGTAGACGCAAAATTTCATTAGTGACTTGAAGATTAACTAACTGCACAATCGCGTTCTTGTGGGTAAATACTACTCTAAGAATCAACGCGCAGGTAATTGCATAATTGGTACTAGGGAAACAATTCCGGACCTTCTCGCGGAATTGCCGCACTGTTTCTCTACTTTCAGACCTTTCGGTCCTTAAACGAGCAGTACCAATTCCGGACTTTCTGGGAACTTCGGACTTGTAGACACCCTGTGGCTGTATCTCTCGAGTGCGCAACACACGCACACGCACACACACACATTTTTGAATGATATGAAGTAGAGTACCTACATAGCGGAGTATGGACAGATCGCTTCATGGAGAGGGCTTAGGACCCAAAAGTGCAGCCATTCTTCTAACCAACTTCTAACGCACACAATTTCACTGCTAGTCTGCAGAGTCTGCAAATTCCAATATTCTAACCAAGATGGCCAAGAATTACATAAATACGCTTTCTTCCGCAATAATGATTTTTATGCAAAAATTAAGTCAATTACGTGCTTTATAAACGACGTTGCCTTACAATTGTATTAGTAAATCGCTCGTGATAATTGAAATTCATAGGTTGGCTGTATTTAGGGGCCCTAACTTTATTCGCGGAAGGCATCGGTGAAGGCCTGATGGGTTTTCGGAGTTTCTCATCTGTCTATACTCTCGCTATGTAGGTACTTTAATATGAATGTTTTCTCGAAGTTTAACGTTGTGTGCCACAAAATCTAGGAATGAATGTTGGTGTGAAAAGACGAAGTTACCAACCTTTGATCGGTCATGGAGATTCCTCCCAGTGGTTCCTTGGATTCTTCGGCGGGGGAGGGGGAAAGCGAGCTGGAGAGCCGCAACCCCCTCCCCCTGAGTGAGCCCATCCGATGGTGGAAGGACCTCTTAAAAGATGCACGCGCTCGGTCAACTGTCAACACGCAACCAATCATACATTATTCACACCCTCTCCTCTGAGAAATTAAAAGCAGATCTCAGACCGCAGCCCTGATTACACCATCAATAAGGGAGCTTAAATTGGATCTGCTACCAACCACCGTCATACGGCGCGCCGTGTTCCGGCCCGTTCAAGCGATACGTAAGCCGCTCAGAGAGCGAGGGGATCTCGGCTCGCTTTACGGGATATTAACAAGAGGAGGTTACGCTTGGCTCAGTCTTACGTGAGCCTCCCACTTCGACAAAAAATAATATTTTCACGTCAAAAATGTTTAAACCTATACGTAAAATACATTGAACTTGAGAGGGTTTCGGTAAATGGGGAAGTGAATGCTTTTTTGAAGGGCTTTACCCTTTGTTGCATGAGCTAATCGTTGATTTTGGAGAGAAAATCTACACTGCACAGTATTTTTTCGTCAATAGAGTCAGTTGGGGTAGATTTTTTTCGAGTTAGGAGATCAGACTTATAATGCTCCACAAAAACCTTGTCTCGTTTTGATTCAATTTAATACTCCAGCATAAGAATAAAGCCGAACACCATTTGCTGCTTTCATGCAACGGTATGCAAAAAAGGGATTTATGAATATTTTTACTGGTTAGAAAGGCATATATTCTATAGATGGCTTCTACGATAATAACTGAGATGTAAATNGGGGGGGGGGGGGGGTTATGGACAAGTATGTCAAGTCACAACATGAGACATTTGTACACACCAATGTAAATAAAATATTAAAATAAAATATATTTTTTCCAGGACGAGACTTTACAGAACTGAGGATTCCTAAGTTGTGTTCTAAAATTGCTCGTAGGCATCTTGTAATCGCTTCTTGAAGATATGTACCTTAAAAATGAAATAAAATCTGTTTAAAAGAAAGTTTCTTTTCGGTATGCTATTCTACCGCCCGAAGGAAGAACATCACATCCATGCCTAAGGAACGAAACTGCCTATATAACTGCAAACTGACAATTTTGCAGAGCGGGAAGAGAACTTCGCAATTTTTGTAATTTTTGGGTTACATTTGCTATTTCTTCCTACATTACCCTGGAGAATTGAAAAAAAAAAAAAACTATAAAAATTCAGATTGCGTATTTTATACATTGTAGAATGCGGCAAAGTCGCTAACTCATTGTTGTCAAAATTTTCAGTTAGGCGGTTTTTTAGTTCCTTGGCCCGTAATATAATCATGCAATATTTACCGAAGTTCCTCGGATTAGACATGTATTTTCGAAGGAAGTTGTGCATATTTTTCCTTGAAAATTTAAGATGTTTCGGAATTTATTGCGGAATTTTTTTTTGAAAATGTTGGAAAAATAGATTCACAATTTCCTGGTACCTTTCGTTTCTCATTGAAAGTAATATGGCAACGTTTGAAGGCTCCTACGGCGCGGCGCACAATGGAATGAGTCAATAGAAGGGGTCGAAGAAAATGTGGGCACTTTCGAAGCTTACAATTTCGAGTAGCCAAAACTTTAGGGTTTGGAAAGTGGTTTCATTGGCTCTATTGTAACAATTTCTTCAAAAAGCATCCCTTAGAATACAAAATTTGATCGAATAAACATAAAGAATTGCAGTTTTAGTCACAAAATGTATGTTCGACCTCTCCTATTGACTCGATCCACTGAGCGGCCTTCTTCTTCAGCACGACAATGGCTGAAGAAGAACTAGTAACAAGTAACACAGCAAGTGGTAGTAACAAGTTGAAAAACGCTGACTTCGCGAGTTTAACTAATCGCGCCGTACACAGTGCAATCGGCGCGGAACGCACGTTAGCGCCTACAAGACTGGACAAATACTTCACGCATTGCGCCAAATACAGTGCGATCGGCGCGGACTGTGTAGCGCCTACAAGACTGTGCGAATACTTCACGCATTGCGCCAAAAACAGTGCGATGGGCACGGAACCCATAGCGCCTACAAGACTGTGCGAATACTTCAAGCATTGCGCGTTCACTATTGTGCGCACTTTCATTGGTTGTCGCTTCCAATTTATATTCAGAGGAGAAGAAAATCATCGTGAAAATGCCGTGGCTATTACAGAGGCGGATTCAGCAATTTGACAATACCGGATTTCCTCCATTTAAACAAAAGCTAAATAATTGATTCTTGTCGGAACACCAAATTCCTCCCAGAATCGATACATTTCCATAGGTTCAAATTGAGAAAAGACAATGTTGCCAATTTGCTTCAAAATTTGACGGAATCAACATGAAGAATTGCAGTTTTAGTCAAATAATTTATGTTCGACCTTTCTCATTGAATCGACCCACTGTGCGGCGTTCTTCCTCAGCACACTGAAAAAAAATATTGGTGTATCTACTGAGAAAAGGGTAAAATTACCAAGAATTCAGGGTTCTATTTAATCCCAGTTTTTTCTTGGTAAAATTACCATTTATGGAATTGGTAATTTTACCGATGATTTCGGTAAAATTATTGAAATTTCTCGGTAATTTTATTGGACCTTGGTAAAAACACCGATATTTTTTATCGACTGTGGTAGAATTACCAAGATAAAATGGCAAAGCTACCGGGAATTGCTTACCAATAAAAGTGGTATTCTTACCTGAAGAAAACAGTAAAAATACCGTTTTTTAGGTAAGCTTACCAGTCTGTATTGGTAAAATTACCAATAATTGGTAAAAAAAGTGAGATGGTAAAGGTAGGTACCAACGGACCTTGGTAAAAACGCCGAGAATTTTTTTTTCAGTGCACGACATTACGGGGGTTGTCGCCTCCAATTTATATTCAGAGGAAAGGAAAATAATCGTGAAAATATTGTAGCTCTTATACAAAGGCGGATCCAGGAATTCGACAACACCGGATATCTCCATTTAAACCTATGCTAAATAATCGGTTCTTAATTGTCGGAACACCTGACTCCTCCAAGAGTCGATAAGTCGCAGGCAAATAGTAAAATCAGGCATTTTGTCCAATGCCTAGGTGAATAGTCAAATATTCTAACTTAGATTGAAATTCTGATTCTTTTCCTAATTTCAGACAAAATAATTCATTGCTCCTGCAAAAAGAAATTCTGAGTAAAAATTTGCACACACAATAGTATTTTAAACAAGTTTTGGCTCCTGAAGAGACACTGATTTTGAAATTTTCAGCAGGTCGTAAAATACAGAATTTTTGGAATTTCAACATTTAATGATATGAAAAGCAATTGAAGAGGAAGAAAAAATAGGGGGTTCGTAGGTTTGATGAGTTATTTATCCAAAAATAGTGAAAAATCGTGAGCTCTTCGCCATAAATTCACAAAATTTTGTAGACCGTCAAAATTGAACTATCTGCCTAGGCATTTGACAAAATGCCTGATATCACTATTTGCCTGCGACAGATACATTTCCATAAGTTCAAATGGAGAAAAGACAATGTTGCCAATTTGCTGGATGAGTTTGTCATTATGAATTATTCGTATGAAAATGATAGTAAGGAGTAGCTTACATTTACTAAGCCTGACAGCGCTGGGCTCGTCCTCGGGGGGTTCGGGCGGCGGCGCCGAGAGATCCTCGAAATCGATGATGTACAAACAAACGTCCTCCTCCTCGCATTTTACGGTTGCTATCACTTGTCTGCATAAAAATTTGGTCCCTGAAACAAAACACAAAGAGGAAATTCAATTTTCACGTCACCGAGCAGATGGAACAACTATTCAAAACAGAGAACGAATCAGTTAAAAAAACAAGCGGGAGGGTCTTCGCGTAGGAGGCATCGCGGAGAGGCGCTTGCTTTTTCGTCGGAATTTAACTCGGGTCTTTGTCTCCTAAATTGAGAGAAAAAGGGGAAACGATGAGAGAGGAGAAAGAGAAGAAGGAAAGAAGGAGATAAGGGAGAAGAAGAGAAATAAGAAGAAAACGAGGAGGGAAAGAAAAAAACCAGGAGGAAGAAAAAAACAGATGAGAAAGAAATAAGAAAAAGAAATGCTTGGAATAAGCGAAAATAATGGTTTGAATGAAGTAGCAGCATGCTTGATTCAAGAAGAAAGAAAAGGCGTTATGCAGAAAGGAACCAAGCCACATTAGCTATTGCGAAATTTAATTTAGCAATTTGATTTTATACATGAAAACGGTTGTGCGGATTTTTGTGCAAATTCCTGTGAATTTTCTGCACAGTACGAAGCAAATTCCTTTACATTTTCTAAGGAATCCGCGCAAACGTTCTCTTGTAGAAAATTAAATTTCTCAGCTAAATTTGGCAAAAGCTGATGTGGCTTGGTTCCTTTCTGCTAAACACGGTCCAAATATTTTTGGCACCAAAACTATTTTTTTTCATACTTTTTCCTTTTTTTTACCGGTTGCGTCATCTCTTTTTTAATTAAAGACTAGATGATCAAAAGCTCCCTTTCAAAACTAGGCAAATTGTATCGAACTGCGCAAGAATCTCGTCAAATATTGCGTTGGTTGAAAGGCGGGTTTCCACTTCCTCCGCAACATTCTGTGTTGCAGAGAGCAGAGCGGGGGCCTCTGTCGAAATTTCCCGCTTTTTCATTCACGGTGACATACTGGTGACAGTGAAAATCAGTTTTTTTAGAGCTCCCAGCGAGAGGGGAAGATACTGCCATGATGAAGAAGAACGTAGTATGAATATTCGAGAGTTGCCAAATTTCCTCGGATAAAACATGTGGTTTTGAAGAAAGATACGCATATTTTTCTGTGAAATTTTCAGATATTTTGGATTAAATTGCAAAAAAAAAAATTTAAAAATTGGAAGGAAAATATTCACGACTTTCCCAGTAAAGCCGTTTTATATTGAAGGAAACATGGCAACGCCTGAAGGCTCATGCGGTGTTCTTCCTTAGCGTGGTGGAGTAGGACCCCATACGAAACGTCACTGCACTATCTTAGCATGGATCTCACGCGCGGAGTGTGTATACATATCCATATGGGGAGGGAAATGAGAATACAAAGGCTGAGTCTGCATTTTTCATGGAGAAGATGACACGCGTTATGGGTCTCGTTTTTCTCTATTCTAAGTGGCTAGGGCGCCGGAGCGCCCCTTGATAGGCAGAACGCGATTCGTAGAAAGACTTATGACACGTATGTTATCCTTTTCTGATTGGCTTTCGCTCCCGGATTCTTATCCTTTTCTGATTATTTACTATAATTGATTATTTATGACAGATTTGAATAAATTGAGGAAAAATAGCTATGCCATCTTGCGAGAATACCCACCGCCGACTTCGGCAATATTTTCGATCCTACTTTGTTTTCGGAAACCCATTTCAAAGATGGAGCAAGTATAGTCCTATGTGTAAGACACATCTTCTTAAAACGTGGTCATACCGATGGTCACGGCTGAGCAAGCAACTAATCGTGCTCCGGGGATGTGAATGTTGCATACACTTTAATTTTAAGGCGTTTCGGCTTCCTTGCCCTTACTTCATCTAAAAATGTCTAGAATAGCAAATAGTTTTTTCGTTTTTTTTTATATCAAAAAATTGTTATTTTTAAAGGGGGAAACAATCACGAAAATTGTATTACTATACTTATACATAGTATCTTTAGTATCTATGGTGCAAAGAATTTGCACGATTTTAAAAACTCTGTAATCGCATGGGTATCTTTCTGCCAAGTGCGATCCATTTGAGCTCGGCCCATATTCAGAGAAGAAAGAGGGAGGAAGCCTGGAAGCGTGAGATACGTCAAAAACCCTCGGATGCATTCTGTCGTACTAGGGAAAAACGCCGCATGAACCTTCAAGCGTTGCAAAACTTCGATTGATAAAGGACAAATTTCCTGGTAGATTTATAAATATGTTTCTTCCAATTCTCAGATAATTTCGTTCGCAATTTTACCTGAAATTCCTGAAAATTTAAAGGAAAAATATTCCTAGCTTTCCTCAAAAATGGACATTTTACCGCAGGAAATATGGCAACTATCGAATGCTCATGAGGCGTTCTTTCTTACGACGACAGCATGGCTTTATTGAATTTTCATCGACTGGTTTCCGTTCCATTGAATTTCCATCGATCGATTTTCGAGCGTAATGAATTTTTATTCCAAAAGGATACACTCCGTCGCGAGGGACTCGAAATCCGAATTCAATAACGCTCAGTCATTGGCATTTCACGGGGGTCTCCTCAGGAGAGGGTCTTAACAAATCGAGTTTGGCTTTTTTTCTCTGCATTCTGCATGTGAGTCACCGATCCGAAACCGGGTGGATTTGCCCGCTAAGCTTTTCTCGAGCCCTACTTTGATCGTGTAAACAGCGCTTCACATCGAAACAAAATAAACAAACAGGATTGTCAAGTTTGCAACCCACTCAGATCCACCTTCTGCACTGCCGAGCTGAGTCAAATTCGACAAACGACGTATCATTCAAAAGATGTAAAATTCTGGTTGATGGGATATATGTCGCAGGCAAATAGTAAAATTAGGCATTTTGTCAAATGCCTAAGCAAATAGTCAAATATTCTAACTTAGATTGAAATTCTGCTTCTTTTCCTAATTTTTGACAAAATAATTAATATCTCCTGTAAGACAAAATTCTCAGTAAAAATTTGCATCGCACAATAGTATTTTAAACCGTTTTTAGCTCCTGCACAGACACTTATCTGGAAATTTTTAGTATGTCATAAAATACAGAATTTTTAGGATTTCATCATTTAAAAATATGAGAGGCAAATAAAGAGGAAGAGACAAGAAGAATTCGTAGGTTTGATGAGTTATTTTTCCAAAAAAATATTGAAAACTTGCGAGCTCCTCGCCATAAATTCAAAAAATTGTATAGACCGTCAAAATTTAACTATCTGCCTAGGCATTTGACAAAATGCCTGATTTCACTATTTGCCTGCGACATATATATTTTCTGGAAAACTTGAGGATACTTTGTTCCCATTTATGTGAGATTTCATTCGTTATGGAAAAGTACGAAATATATTCTATGCTTCATCTGATAGTGCTCAATGAGCTGAATTTGCCATGGTTTTTTTAAACATATTTTCTGCTATGGGAAAATGTAGAAAAATAGGTTTAAAATTGAGAAAAAGGGCCGCTTTGTGCCGTCATCTGATGGCATTTCCCATTTAAACAAATTCGTTGTATTTTAACAGACTCGGCTATTTTGTCGTGTCTTCTACATTAATTGTTCAATTCAGAAGCTAATAGGATTCTCGTACTCAGTTCTTTCAGCAGTTCTGTCTAAAACAAGAAATTTAACACATTTCAGACACCTGCAAATTCGTCATTTTTTCTACTAAAGTATACACAAATTTTCAAAGACTAATATTCATAATTTTCCATAAAAAAACATTCCATCGGAGGAGATGCGACAAGAATCAACTGGATTTCATTATGCAACTAAGGACTGCTATTTCTGACGTATAAAAGCATTTATCTGCATAGGGAACTAATGGGATACGTGTTGTTTCTAAAATGAACCAGAAATTGTGGTCCTTAGTTGCATAATGAAATCCAAATGTTCATACGGTGTTTTTCCTTAACAGGACTGAACCGAGTGAGATTCTGTCCATGTGCTGGGGAAAATCAAAGTGATTCAATTTTGAGATTTTCCCGAATTTCAACTCGATGAATCATTTGACAAGGTTAGAATGGACCACTAAACGGGGTTGGCAATTTAGTAATCCAGTACGTGCTTTATCATCAAAATGCACTTGCACTTACAAATTGTCTCTTAAGGGGGTTGTCAATTGTCTCTATAATTAGGGCGTTTCTAACTGAAAAATTCACTGATTTCTCTTCTAAATTAACATAATTTTGAACACGAATCGCACAGTCATTTTGCAACATTGAAGAGCAGTTACGTCCCTTCGTTTGACAAATTGATGAATAAATACAGCCGTGCTAAGGAAGAACGACGTATGAGCCTTCAGACGTTGCCAAGTTTCTTCCAATAAAAACCGAATTTACTGGGAAAATTGTGAATAGTATTTTCCGAAATTTTCAGACAATTTTGTAGGCAATTTAATCTAAAATATCTGAAAATTTCAAGGCGAAATATGCAGGAATGTTGTCGTAAATACATATTTTACCACGGGAAATTCGGCAACTCTCGAATGTTCATACGACGTTCTTCCTTAGAGAATAGTTCTTAACACTTTCCAAGTAAAAATACGCGTCACGGCTGTGAAGACATTACAGGGATTACGTTTATCCCTGAAAAACAAGGATCCGTCAATAAATTAACATCAAAATTCGATGTATTCAATTAGTTCAATCACTTTTCGATGAATCGCAGCCTTTTTGCAGATATCGGCGGATGTAAAGTTGGCAACGGCGTGTGTTTATTTTATGCCGGCATACAATGCGTCTCGAGGAAGGAAGTATCAACTGGCAATTTACCTAATTCTCTGGAAGTGCATACTGCCGAGCTTCACATAGTTCTTCTAATGAATGAGTGCTTGCACGGGTTTCGCACAGTTAAGCCCGCCAATAATTAATACCTCGACTTGTAGCACTTTTGCGATTACAATTTTTCTCATCGCCAAGAAGTAAAGATAGTCACGCGAGTGCGTTGGCTAGACGGACGAAAATTTGGACGGATTAACTGGAATTAGCCTAGTTGTATCTCTCGTTGTCTAATTTCTGACGTATTGTTCAGTCTTTATGCACATTTTCCAACGATAAGCTAAT